CACACACACACACACACACACACACACACACACACACATATATATATATATATATATATATATATATATATATATATATATATAAATATGAGAGAGATAGATGTCTTCCTCCTTGCCCTACGCATCTGTGTCCCTCAGTTTCTTCATTCTGAAATTTCTCTGAGCTTGATTATCCCTTAAATTTCATCAACTCTGCCGATTCTCAAACTAAAAGGACTTTCATCCTAAAGCTGCTTTCACACACAAGTAACACTGCTCTGTCTTCCCTTCATATCTGAACTAAAAAAAAACTCACTAACACCCTTTGTCCTCTTGACGTAAGAAAGGTGACCTCACCTTTGGACAAACTAACACTCTTCTTAGTAATCTGCTTCACACTGCTCCTCCTGCTGCTTCTAATGCTGCTGGTGTCTACTTCCTGTTCGTCTTGTCCAATACTTCGGGCAACTGGCCGTACTCTAAATGACAGACTTAAGGAACACAAAAGAAGTGTTAAGTCTCCAGACACAAACAATGTTCTCTTCTGTCATGTTAGGGACTCTAATCGTTCTATAGATTGGTGTTAGGGACTCTAATCGTCTTATAGATTGGTGTTAGGGACTCTAATCGTCCTATAGATTGGTGTTAGGGACTCTAATCGTCCTATAGATTGGTGTTAGGAACTCTAATCGTCCTATAGATTGGTGTTAGGGTCCTGTAGATTGATGTTAGGGACTCTAATCGTCCTATAGATTGGTGTTAGACTCTAATCGTCTATTGGTGTTAGGGACTCTAATCGTCCTATAGATCGGTGTTAGGGACTCTAATCGTTCTATAGATTGGTGTTAGGGACTCTAATCGTTCTATAGATTGGTGTTAGGAACTCTAATCGTCCTATAGATTGGTGTTAGGGACTCTAATCGTCCTATAGATTGGTGTTAGGGACTCTAATCGTCCTATAGATTGGTGTTAGGGACTCTAATCGTGCTATAGATTGGTGTTGTTAATCTTCCCTTCCTCTGCTCTTCACAGACGGCGTCTTGGTAAATGTGCTCTGATACACAACGTTGCCCAACAGGAACCTGAGTCCTGGCTTTGTTGGTGTTGACTCTTCCCTTTCACAGTACATGTTTAAGATGCTCCAACCTTCTTAACAAACGTGACCTGACTTAAGCTTTGTCCCCGCTAGTCTCTCTTTCCTGTCTCTCTCTCTCTCTCTCTCTCTCTCTCTCTCTCTCTCTCTCTCTCTCTCTCTCTCTCTCTCTCTCTCTCTCTCTCTCTCTCTCTCTCTCTCTCTTTTGTCTCTGTTTCACCCCCTTATCTTGGCTATATAAGGTCTTCTGCAGTTTTCTCATCTTTGCTTTTATTCGTCTTAACTGCTGTGGTGTACTTCCTTCTTTCTCGCCTTTGTTCATATTCTTACCTTATTTATTGACATTCTTCACCACTCTTCCTTTGCACCACTTCATACTGGTCCAGGATGGACCGAAGGTATTGGTCCAGGACGGATCGAAGGTATTGGTCCAGGATGGACCGAAGGTATTGGTCCAGGACGGACCGAAGGTATTGGTCCAGGATGGACCGAAGGTATTGGTCCAGGATGGACCGAAGGTATTGGTCCAGGACGGACCGAAGGTATTGGTCCAGGACGGACCGAAGGTATTGGTCCAGGATGGACCGAAGGTATTGGTCCAGGACGGACCAAAGGTATTGATCCAGGAAGGATCGAAGGTATTGGTCCACGACGGACCGAAGGTATTGGTCCAGGAAGGACCGAAGGTATTGGTCCACGACGGACCGAAGGTATTGGTCCAAGACGGACCGAAACGTCGTAATCTCCTATAATCTGTACTTCCGTCATTGTGACGGTGTGTCTGCATATAGCGACACCTTAGGTAGAGTGGCCGAATGACTTTATTCATGATTTTCCATTAATTTCGCCTTATACTCTGATACAAACACTGACGTCAACTTTGACTCTATGAACTTTGTGTATTCTGAGAGCGAACTAACTTAGCGACCTCAGCTGACTTATCCCTCGCTACTCCCTAACTTAAATTCGACCGGATATTAAATAATAATTAAATAATTTTTCAAGTAAGTGTCGTGTTGATTTTTTTAATTTAATTTTTACGCGATATTTTGAATGTTTACTTTGAAATTTAATAATTGGAACAGGAGAATTTTGTCTGTATTGCTGTCAGTAGGGAACGCGAGCAGTGCAGAGATTCACTGAGCAATAATTTGCGTTACAGTAAATTCATGGAACAAGTTGTTTAAGTGGTTGAAGTAAGAGTTTGATAGCCAACTGATATGAATTTGACGCGAAAACGTCAAAACTGACAGTTTCGTGCAGAGGTCACACACACCTGCCTGCTAGCACACACACACACACACACACACACACACCTGCTTGCTCGCACACACACACACACACACACACCTGCACACCTCACACACACACACACACACACACACACACACACACACACACACACCTGCTTGCTCGCACACACACACACCTATCTGCTCGGCACATATCACACCTCTTGTTGGGTCGTTTATTCTCCGAGGAGGATGTGTTGTTGTTTAAGATTCAGCTACTGGGAACAAAACGTTCCAAGTAGCACTGGCTATGGTGAGCCCGTTTGTGGACTTACTTGGCACAAGAGCGGGGCCGTAACTTGTCCGAGGAGGAACTTATAGAAAGGCTAAATAGGGGGAAAGGTGACGAGGGGGAGGATATACATTTTATGAACTCAATAGTGCACTTACACAGAGACCTGACCCCTCCCCCCCATGTCTTCTGAGTGTGGAGAGTGAGTGTGGAAGTGGTGGAACCAGAGTGACTGTACTGCTCCCCTCTGGAGTGCCCTCAAGTCTGGAGTCTTCTCTAACAAGCTTATTACGTAAGACTGAACACGAGTCTTACATTATTGATGAGTAACGCCCTTATGAGGCTTTGGTTTTAGCTTCCTGTATGAGTTGTTGTTTTTCGTTTGAAGGCTGATGAATAAGGATGAGTATAGAGGTAAACACGGCTGGGGGTTGGAAGTGGATGAATACGAGAATAACACACTTGGTGTGGAGGTGGATGAGTAAGGATGAGTGTGAGGAGGCGGGGGGGGGGGGGAACATAAGCCAGGCTTGGTGGATGAATAAGGATAATGGGTGAATGAAACACAGGTGAGTTTAAAAGTCTTACGTCTCATTTATTCACACGACTGGGCGCCATAGCATCAGCAACAGGTGAGTGTGTGTGAGTGTGTATGAGTGTGTGTGTGTGTGTGTGGCCAGACACCCTGCGCCACGCACACACACACACACGTACACGCAGTCCACACCCACAAACAGTATCAGAATAATAATAATAATAATAATAATAATAATAATATCAATTAACAGTAAGGACAAATGCTGTGTTCATAATTTGAGAAACACAGGGTAGTAAAGACTATATATAATTCACAGCTTTTCATAGATTTTCAGCTAATAATTCTGACGCCCACTCTATGTAATAGATATATTACATGAACTTTTTTTTATCTGCTACAAAAATACCATGTTTCGTATTCTCTGAAAATAACAATTATATTTGATTTACACAGGGACACAGGGAGTTTGACACGTAGCCAGTCCGGAACATTTTGGGGGCCTTAAGACTGCTGCTTGTAAAGAGGTGAACTCGGCTTGCTTTCACAGTTCTCTAAGAACCACATTGAAATCACCCTTCTCCTTCCCCTTTGGAACAGTAGGTAGATATTGTTATCTTATTTTGACTTACAGATAATAATTCGCGGGTCTGGAACGTTCCCAGTAAGTGTCCCGCTTATGTGTAAGCAAATGGTATAAGAGTTTAAGTAGTTTTTAAGGGGGAGTTTCCGGGTGATGCGAGCGAGTCTGTGCTTCACATCCAGCAGCCTACGGGCCCGTATGGACTTCGGACCAGTCTCCAGATATGCTTCTCTTGTACTTGACCCGCGCTAATGTTACCACGGCCGCCAACGAGCCTCGCTCTCTTGGCAACGAGGTCTCTCGTCACCGACCTGGCTTCGTTGGCAAGGGAGAGGACCCGTGACGTTGTCAGGGAGGAAGAAGGAGAAATGCAGTGGTTTCGGTATTGTGGTTAGCTTGTTGTTAGGTAAGATGGTGGTGGTGTTGTGAGTGGAGGAGGCTGGTGATGGTGTCAGAGGTGGCACTGGCACACGGCAGTGTTGTGGTGTCAGTGCCAATCCGAACATGATGAGGCTGGCACATATTATCACTTGTGTAACAGGAACATGATAGATTGAGTGCACCTTTTGTCATGATCACCATGGAAGGTGCTTAAAGTCTATACAGTAACCTACATGGTGTCAACCGTGACGACGAGGGTGATGGTGAAGAGGGTGATGGTGATGAAGGTGATAGTGACGAAACTTTTGACACATGTCATACATAGTAAAGTAAGCCAATGGCACACTTCCACCTAAGTGGAGTTTGGTGAAACTTGAAAAGTCACCTCCAGTGATAAGACCTTTGACCTTCAGACAAAGATAACAGCAATATGACACCATTCTTAATAGCACAGGTTATCGTAACCTCTGTAACGGTTGCTGTTTGCTGAAGACAGCTGTCGTCGTTGTTATGTTCAACAGCTGTTGGTGAAGTCTGGTCAGATGTGTACGTTGTGTCATGTCACGCTTGTGTCATGTCACTTTGGGTGTCATGTCTGGGTGTCAGAACTTAAGCTTAATGCTTAGTTCTTTCTCTTGTAATATAGTCAGGATATTTTCCCCTGGAAAATGGACCGTTTTTTGGTGACATATTGGTTGTCATTTCGTGTCATTTCGTGTCATTTCGTGTCATTTCGTGTTATTCGTTGTCTAGTGATGAGTGAGATGAAGGAATCTTTGTTACTTCTTTCCAAGACGTGTGTGTCATGTGTCATATGTCGTGTCACGTGTCATATCAGACTGTCACTTATCAAGTGTCATTGCCGTGTGTCATATGTCATGAAAATGTGTCAGTTGCAATGGCAGTGCGTGTCACTACTGTTCAGTGTCATTCCTCCTGTCACTTCACTGCAGTTACTGTCAGTGAGTGTCAGAGTGCAGTGCCACAAGTCTGTAGGTGCCTCTGGGTGCCAACGAGGGAGATTCTCGCTCGTCTCGGCGTCTCATGTCTCGTTGTCAGTCAGTTCAGGTTGTAAATGTCTCGTTGTCAGTCAGTTCAGGTTGTAAATGTCTCGTTGTCAGTCAGTTCAGGTTGTAATGTCTCGTTGTCAGTCAGTTCAGGTTGTCAAGTTCATGTTGTAAATGTCTCGTTGACAGTCAGTTCATGTTGTAAATGTCACGTTGTCAGTCAGTTCAGGTTGTAAATGTCACGTAGTCAGTCAGTTCAGGTTGTAAATGTCTCGTTGTCAATGTTGTAAATGTCTCGTTGTCAGTCAGTTCAGGTTGTAAATGTCTCGTTGACAGTCAGTTCATGTTGTAAATAACTCGTTGACAGTCAGTTCATGTTGTAAATGACTCGTTGTCAGTCAGTTCAGGTTGTAAATGTCTCGTTGTCAGTCAGTTCAGGTTGTAAATGTCTCGTTGTCAGTCAGTTCATGTTGTAAATGTCTCGTTGTCAGTCAGTTCAGGTTGTAAATGTCACGTAGTCAGTCAGTTCAGGTTGTAAATGTCTCGTTGTCAGTCAGTTCAGGTTGTAAATGTCTCGTTGTCAGTCAGTTCAGGTTGTAAATGATTCGTTATCAGTCAGTTCAGGTTGTCAATGTCAGTTGTCAGTCAACTAATGTTGTAAATGTCTCGTTGACAATCAGTTCATGCTGTAAATGACTCGTAATTTGTCATATGTTAAAAACGTGTCCTAACTGGTCGATGGATGTTGAGCTGTAAGTTAAACAGTCAGCTGGTGTATAACAGTCTCCAGCTAACGATGCAAATGTCCCGTTTTTGGTGTCAATTGATATTGTTTATGTATCGTAGTCTGTCAGCTGACTCGATAGATTCTTAATCCACTTCCACTGTGTCAGAAGAACGAAACGAGAGAGAGGGGAGGGACTGGGGGGGGGGGGGTACTGTCACCAGGTCGGGCGCAAAGTTCAAGCAATTCTGACAAGTTAAGGCCTAAACGAGTTCTGTAAATGTCAGCCAACAGTGGTGGCAGCGAGGGTCTCATTGTGGAGGTGGGCGGTGAAAAGGTTATATGAACTGTCATTAGCTGCGAGGTCATTTGTTCGTGTGAGTGCCATGGAACAACTGCGGCCTCTGATTGGCTGCTGGTTGGGATTCTCTCTCTCTCTCTCAGTCTCTGTCTCTCTCTCTGTCTGTCTCTCTCTCTCTCTCTCTCTCTCTCTCTCTCTCTCTCATCAGCATTGTACACTTGCATGGGACTGAGTAGTGCACAAGGGGGGGGGGGGGGGGGGGGGGTAATACTTAGATCAAGAGTACACAACAGTCATGCAGGAAATCAGTCGAATGTCATTCGTTCAGTTTGTCCCTGAGAAGAGTTACGCCACTAAAGTCTATCGCCGCCTCTTGCCAGTCATTCACCAGTCAGTGAGGAGAGTGTGAGACTGACCCTCACGCACCACCAGTCACTCTGTACGTGGCTTGGTACCGCAGTTGTAAGTTATGTATAGTTAATTGTTGTTGGCCAGTCAGCTCCTTCTTCAGGAAGATACAGTCATCCAGTCTATTACTTTGAGTCACTTGTAATATTCGCTCAATGGCTTGTGAGTTACTTATGACAGTCGATTATTAATTAAAACAGTAGAGAAGGCATGAATTTTGTCATGTAATTTTCAGCCTTCAGTGAATGTATCAGTGTAGCAGTCGGTGAATTAGTCCTCAAGAGCTGATTATTGTTCAAGTTCAAACCCTATGTGTGTGTGTGTGTGTGTGTGTGTGTGTGTGTGTGTGTGTGTGTGTGTGTGTGTGTGTGTGTGTGTGTGTGTGTGTGTGTGTGTGTGTGTGTGTCAGAAGTCAGATCAGTTGGGTACAAAATACTCTAAGGAGTCAACTCTCATGAGTCCAGATGTGGTCAGTAGCATCAGTTCATTTGATCCAGTGACATCAGTGTAAGTCCACTGACATCGATCTGAATCTAAGCTATAACCTAAACAATAAATAAATGTCTGATCTGTCAATATGCAAATGAGATTCTCATTTGCATATTGCCATGTTGTCAAAAGTATTACTCAACTCGTGCACCCAAGTCAGCCACGTCCTCAAAGTCCAAAGTCCCTCGCTAAATGACTACCAAAGTCTAAAGTCTAAAAGCTTTGTACATAATGTACATACTGTGTTTTGTTTTCTTACGTTTAAACTTTCAAGTTCCATCTTGGCCAATAAGTAGAGGCTCCCTTCAGTCACCTTCTTCTCAAGAAGGTGTCCCAGGATTCACTTAAGGATTGTGCATACATGTTGTCAAGTATAGTCAGGTTTGTACATAATTCCAAATATGCAGTCCAGTCCAGTCATTGTGTCATGACTAGTCAGTCCCACTTACTGACTGTCAGGTTAGTAAGGTTCAACGTCTGTTGAACCGATCAACAGTTACTCCGGATAGTGGGTTCTGTTAATCCAGTCAGAGAACGAACAGTCATATCTAAGCGTCTTGAAGAAAAACTAGTTTTTTTTCAGTCGGTTACATATAATATAAATATATCCACATGCATACAAATATTAACATAGGGATCCGTCGCCTAAATATTCTTGCCAGTTTTCTGTTGCGGGAAAGTCATCAGAAACAAGGTCAAACTAAAGTAGATTCTTTGATGGAACATTAAAATAATTAGTGGTGACAACGCAGTGTTTGATCAGTGTTATCTCACACACATGACTGGACTGGTAGCAGTAGTGAGGGGGGGAGAGGGGGCTGCCAGCTCTTTTGGAGTCAGATGTTAAATATCAGGAGGTCACAGAGGTAGGTCATGCGTGATTGAGGTCAAATGTATACTCACTCGAGGCCAGTCATTCCAATTTACTCATTCGTGGGTCATGGAGTCAAAGGATTTACTCAAGTGACGTCAGTTAGCTTTCCTCGTTAGATTCAGTAGTTAGGATATGATGGTGCGTGAGTGTGTCGGAGAGACGGTGAATACTGGCGGTGTCTGGAAGCTTAAACGGATATGTTGATTGGTGAGTAATGAGTCATTGTCAGGTCTGGTCGTGGAGACCGGTGGGTCTGGTCAGAGGGGTCCGCTGGTCTGGTTTGATCACAAGGTTAATGAGCAATACGAGTGAACATATTTCGATTACAGAAGTGGATCCATAACGTCAATCGTGAGAGCCAACGAGTAATGAAAATTATTTTCACTCTAAAAATCGCTGAGTATTGTGAGTCGACATTATTAATCACGCCGCTCGGCGAGTAGAGTGAGTCGTACTAATGCTTGGTTATAAAGGTCACTGTGTAAAGCAAGTCACAGAATGGTTTGATCTTGAACGTCCACCAAACAAGGAAGATAATAACATGGTTTACTCGGCAAGGCCGAAGACTGAGCGTGAATTACGGTGTGGTCCGTGGACGCTGCTCACCAGGTAATATACCTCTTCAATACACTAGTGAAGTGAGAGACGCCAGGTACGCAGACCGTCTCCATAGACGAAAAATAACGCCTGTCTGTTCGTCAAAGATTTAGAAAAAGCAACGGAACTGGTGACTGGAGGTGACGGGAAGTGACTGACAGAGGTGACAGAGGTGACGGGAGATGACTGGCAGAGGTGACAGAGGTGTCGGGAGGTCAACAATGATGCAGGTCGGTGGGCAAGCGCCGTTGGCGCCGGTAACAGGCGGGTCAGACACATCAAAATAAACTAATATATCACAGGTTAAACACGTCACACCAAAACACCACACACTTGTGGAGGAGATCCTCTAGGGCAGTGCACGAAGGAAGCCACGACTGAGGCCTCGTGCCTACAGCCACAGCTTCCAGGGCTGCCAGGGCTTGGAAACTTAACAAGGGTTTTTGAGAACAAAAATCATCATCACATTAGGGCCTGGGGTGACGGCATCTAGGTCCTAAGTAACACAGAAAACTGCAAACCGTAAAGGGGAAACTTAACAGGAACGATAGTCCGTTGTGGCAACTTGTGAGAGGAGGGCCAGTGGGCAGCGTTGGGGCAGGGAGGGCAGTAGTGACTCGCTGGTAACAAGTTGTGGGGGCGGGGAAAGGGGTAGCCCAACTGACCCGCCCCTACAGGCACTAGCGACTGGCTGGTAACATACAGGTGTGGTAGGGGGAGGGGAAGAACGGTTGGGGGGCACACGGGTGGTAGGGGAGGGGTGGCAGCTTGGGGCGGGTGGCACCAGGGGCGGGTGGCACCAGGGGCAGGTGGCACCAGGGGCAGGTGGCACCAGGGGCGGGGTAACATCAGTGGCAACAGAAGGCACCTGGGGAGTACCCCAGACGCACCCAGGTGAGAGTTGAGGAGGCACCGTGAGACAGGTAGACGCACCATCCATCACTCATCACTCAGGTGGATAGAGACGTAGGAGGCGAGGTTCTGCCAGAAGTTGAGCACACGCATGTTGACGATGTCGTCAAGGTCAGCGGGGCACTGGCTGTAGGCGTGGCCACAGTCCGCGCCCGCCACGCCCCTCTCAGCTGCCCAATAGTACCGGAAGAAGCGGAACACGGCCGGGCTGTTCGCCGACACCATGGACAACGACTCACTCTTCCTGAAACAAACAAACAATATTTACAATTTCATAAAAGACCACAAATAATGGATAATTTGTAATAGGGGAAACATTCTAAATTGAGCTCCTGCTAATGAAGGTGAACACAGAAAGGTGAAGAACACACACAATTAAATCCTAATTGCATAGTGACACTTTGGGGGATCTGGAAACCTCTTTTAATTTATAGAGACACATTTCATATTATGCGCGTGCGAAAGTTATTATGAAAAGAAGGCACCAAGCCTGGAAGACCATTTAGCACCGTTGTGTACGCGAGGAAATGTGTAGTGACGTTGCCACTCTCACTGGTACACTGGCATGTGTTGGCAAGGGCACGGGAGTTACACGTGCAGTATTGCAGCAGGGAAGTGTAGGGGGGTGTTGAAGGTGTGCCAGGCACGTCAACAATGGTGTGGGTGTGTCGCTGTGAGTCACTGCCCAGCCGGGCCGACGCACGAAGCCCTAAACACTAGTAGCCACGTAGCATTTCTGGATCATAAGACAGAATTCGTATCCCCGAGGCATCCGTCTGCCCCCAGCTTTAAAGAGATGAGCCGAGAGTGTGGCCAGACGATTACCCGAGTGCCTGTTAGTATGGCACCTGAGGACACCACCAATGACAGCCTGAGGTGTTCGTGGCAATCCTCTGGTGCCTCGTCGACGGATCCTTGCAGCGAGTGTTGTTCTTGATCCACGTCTTGGGCATTAAGTAAGCAAGGTCAGCATGTTTGTTAATAATATTCCAATCTATTGCTTGTCTCTTTCTCTTCTCTCACCTCTCATCTTGATCATCCAGCCTGTCTTGCTGTCCTCTGCTGGACTAGCGGCCCGCCCGAAGATGTGCAATAAATATTAACTTTGTGTCATCGCGGAAATATGGGTGTTTGGAAGCTGCGGGTGGAAGTAGGATCCAGTTTCTAGCACGAGCTTCCGCGTGGCAACAAATCAAGTGCGTGTTAGAATTCGACCTTGTGGTCACCACGCCTGACGTCCCTCGCCTTCGCTGCCACTCTATATTCGTCGGACTAAAACGAAACTCCACAGAAGAAAGTCCTAGTGATCGAGAAATCCTTTCACGCGCAGGAGACGAGCCTGTAGTGACGGAGCTGGCCTCACCTCCGCCTGGCCATCGCTACAACACTGGACTGTTTCACAACCCATTTTTCTCAAAGAAACACTGATCTTGTATAAAATGCATTCATTTGCCCTCCATATGTATCACAGTAGCTAAGCTGGCCGGCGCAGACTAGCGTTACCTTGATCAGTTGCTCAAGAAAGTGAACCTTGCGCCTGAGCTAATCAAAACCAAAATAGAACACCAGTAACGTCTGGTGAACAGGGATGCCAATGTTTATATTGCTGGTGACAATTGTATCATATAGTTGCCGTATGTAAATAGTCGTGTTTTTAGCTAGACTTGACTAATAAAGAAGAAGCAGGCAGCAGGAGACATCCGACTGACCCACCACACTGTGTACGAGGCGGTCATCAGGCAGGAATGTAAGGCACAACACCACCACTTTTCTGCCCACAGACAAGACTGACCGGCTCAGACGACCTTGATTTTTTTCCCCCCCAAGTTGTCCCTTAACACGCGTCGGCCAGCAGGTTTCTGATAATCACGACCCGCTTATAATGGATTACACACATGTTCGCCTCGGCGGTGTTATGCGGCAGGAGTGTGGCCTTCCCTGGGGACCACTTCCAGGGTATGTTTTGGCCCTTTAGAGTCATGTGTGTGTAGGAGTCTCCCACGAGGGAGCCAGGTGTGAATTCTCCGTCCCCGAGCATTGTTATGTATCTTGTGTGTGTCCCTGTCTGTCTGATCTGTGTCTGCACCACACCTCTGACCACTCATCCTGGTCACTTGTGGTCACGCTCTTACACGCCATCCACTCCTGATCCATACATCCACTCCTGATCCGTCCATCCATTCCTGACCCTTACATCCACTCCTGATCCGTCCATCCATTCCTGACCCTTACATCCATTCCTGACCCTTGCATCCATTCCTGACCTTACATCCAGTCCTGACCCTTACATCCATTCCGAACCTACCCACCCATACCCTGACACCAGCTACTGTACTCTTCTGCCGCCATAATACAGGTCACAGGTTGCAATACTGTAACCATTAATAGTTACAATTTTAGAGATAGAAATAGAAACATTTTAGAAATAGTTTTATCTAAAATGCTCTTAGAAAAGCGAAGTGAGCCGAAAACGCGTTTAGCATTCTCTATTTTTCACATGTGTTTATATATATATATATATATATATATATATATATATATATATATATATATATATATATATATATAATATATATATATATATATATAATGTATATAAAACAACCACTGGCCAGAACTCAGTATGAAAACGTCGATAATATAGTGTGGAAGACTAAGCCAATGAGTGCACTGACGAGTGAGAGTGACATAACTGGACAGCAGAGAGGCCGGGGTGGTAGTGGGGGCTCCGTGAACTAAGCCTCCCACCGACTCCTCTCCTCCACAGGATGTGTGGCATTGGTAACCAGTTCGGCTTGAGAGCCTCCGCCGGCAATGCAGATCAGCAAGCCGGAGGACCCAGGCGTCGCCCGAATGGAAAGGACGCCACAGGAAGAGGCGGACGCCGACGGGAAAGGTGACAATCAAGAGAACAAAGAGAAAGGAGAGCGAGGAAGAGGAGAATGAAAGGGTCCAGAGTGTCTGTGACTTGGGTTGCGTAACACACACGTGGTGATGCCTCCTCCTCCTCCTCCCCATATAGACGTGAGTTGACTTAGGTTATAAGCAGGTGAGTGGTCCTGGGGTGTAGGTGAAGCCTCCATGTGGGTGGAGCAGGTGGCTTAGGGAGGAGAGACAGGGGGGGGGGGAGATGCAGCAGTCCGTGCTCACCTAGTCACCTGGTCTGTGTAAACTATCGGTGCTCATTTCGTCGTTCGCAGCCCAACGAGGTTCCTCGTAAAAGGCCGATTGGCAGGTTTATTAGTGCTGTCGGAGCCAGTTTGATTCTGTTCAGCTTTCGGACGTCTTATTACATAGTTGTGCGTGTGTTTAACTTACGTGTGCGTGTGTGTGCGTGTGTTTAACGTGCGTGTGCGTGTGTGGACGTGTGTGTGCGTGTGTTTAACGTGCGTGTGCGTGTGTTTAACTTACGTGTGCGTGTGTGGGCGTGCGTGTGCGTGTGTTTAACGTGCGTGTGTAAGATGAATGAAAACAGCTTCGTGGGAAATGAGATGCTGGGGGGTTCAGAGCTGGTTCACACTCTCCGTGTTAAGGCCGCGGAGACCCATACGCAGCTTGCGCCCGTCCCAGAGCCGGACCGCTCAGTAAGCTCCAGCGACGTGAGGCTGCGCCACGCTGGCGTATCGCTCACTGCGCATGGCTCACTGCGCATGGTTCACGTCCTCGGTGTTGTCACGGAGGAATTAAAGTAGAAGAAAACAGTGTTGAAATTACTTCAGTTTGTATTGATTGTTGTTTTGTTGTTTTGCATGGTTGACAAGGGAGGAAGGGAAGGGAATTATCAGGGGGAAGGCGCTAAGCCATTACGACTGTAAGGCACTGGGGAGGGGTCAGGATAAGGATTTGGGATGGGACGGAGGGTGGAAAGGAATGGTGCCCCAACCACTTGTGGACGGTCGGGGATTGAACGCCGACCTGCATGAAGCGAAACCGTCGCTCTACCGTCCAGTCCAAGTGGTTGGGGTGACAAGGGGGGGGGGGGGAGTCATTGTTAATATTCATATCAACAGTCATAAGTTTTTATGTAGGCCACAGGAGGTGGCCCACCTCCCTCCCTTCCCCTACACCATGTGTCCAAGCCCCCCCCCTCCCCCCCACTATGTGTCCAAGCACCCCCCCTCCCCCCCCACACCATGTGTCCAAGCACCACCCCTCCCCCCCACACCATGTGTCCAAGCACCCCCCCTCCCCCCCACACCATGTGTCCAAGCACCCCCCTACCTCCTCTTCCAGAATACGTGTCCAACAGAGCCTACCTCCTTCCCCCACCCCCTCCCCTACCCCTCCCTCACCCCCTACACCTCCCCCTCCCCACCTGTGGCCTTTCACTGGCCGCTGGGGGGGGGGGGGGGGGCGCCGCTCCCTGGAGTCAACAAGCGCCAAGTGTTGCTGTGGTTGTGGCTAAACCCGCCTCAGCTATTGACCCCGATGCTTATTGGTGCTGGCAGCGTTAATATTACGGTGGTTTATATCGCACGGGATTCTGGGCTCTTTATCTAGGTTTTCCTTGGCTTCAGGAGGCGAAGAGGAGGATGTGGGGGGGGGGAGGGGGGTTCTTGCACGTGGTGGTGGTGAGGAAGGATAGGTCATCATCACCTATCTTAAGGACCCCCTCCTCCTCCTCCTCCTCGCAAGAAACGTGAGATATCGACAGCTACGTAAAGTATTGACTTTCCAAATAGCATACAATTAGTATGTAAAGTGTTGGGTAATTAGAGAACGATGGGGCTGAGAACACCCCACTTAAGAGAACGGTAGGGCTGAGAACACCCCACTTAAGAGAACGGTGGGGTTGAGAAAAGAGAACGGTGGGGTTGAGAGACACCTGAGAACACTTAAGAGAACAGTGGGGAGAACACCCCACTTAAGAGAACGGTGGGGTTGAGAAGAACCACTTAAGAGAACGGTGGGGTCTGAGAATACTCACTTGAGGGGTGAGAGAAGCAGGTGTGACAGGGGTGTGAAGGTGGAGGGGTGGCGGGCCAGCTGGCAGAGTAGCCGCATGCGGCAGTGATGGTCGTGGACCCGCAGGTAGTGGAAGTATGCGTCCATCCGGGACAACAACGCTCCCAACTCTCTGTTGGGGAGGACAACGGTACGCCTTAGTACACTGTACAGGTGCTGGTGGGTGGGTGGGGCTAGGACATGTTACTGGTGGGTGGGTGGGGGCTAGGACATGTTACTGGTGGGTGGGTGGGGGCTAGGACATGTTACTGGTGGGTGGGTGGGGGCTAGGACATGTTACTGGTGGGTTGGTGGGGGCTAGGACATGTTACTGGTGGGTAGGTGGGGGCTAGGACATGTTACTGGTGGGTGGGTGGGGGGCTAGGACATGTTACTGGTGGGTGGGTGGGGGCTAGGACATGTTACTGGTGGGTGGGGGCTAGGGTGGGTGGGTGGGGGCTAGGACATGTTACTGGTGGGTAGGTGGGGGCTAGGACATGTTACTGGTGGGTGGGTGGGGGCTAGGACATGTTACTGGTGGGTGGGTGGGGCTAGGACATGTTACTGGTGGGTAGGTGGGGGGGGCTAGGACATGTTACTGGTGGGTGGGTGGGGGCTAGGACATGTTACTGGTGGGTGGGTGGGGCTAGGACATGTTACTGGTGGGTGGGTGGGTGGGGGCTAGGACATGTTACTGGTGGTAAGGTGGGGCTAGGACATGTTACTGGTGGGTGGGTGGGGGCTAGGACATGTCACTGGTGGGTAGGTGAGGGCTAGGACATGTCACTGGTGGATAGGTGGGGGCTAGGACATGTCACTGGTGAGTAGGTGGGGGCTAGGACATGTCACTGGTGGATAGATGGGGGCAGGACATGTCACTGGTGAGTAGGTGGGGGCTAGGACATGTCACTGGTGGGGTAGGTGGGGGCTAGGACATGTCACTGGTGAGTAGGTGGGGGCTAGGACATGTCAATATGAGACAAAAACGTTTTGACATGTTTAAATTACGATTCAATTTGACAGAAATATAAGTCTTAACCTAAATATCATAAGGGGAGCTACAAACCACACACACACAACACACAGACAAGACAGAACACACACAGGACACACACAGACACACACACACACACACACACAGACGCACACAACACACACCAAACAACACCACAAACACACACACCAAACACACACACACACACACACACACACACACACACACACACACACCACACACATACACACATACACACAGCTGCTCACCTGTGTTCCAAGTACTGTGGGTGGCCAGGGTCGTACTCCAGCTCTTGGACCACGAGTCTATCCCCGGGACCTCTGATATCCTTCACGTTATCCCCCTCGCCATCCCCTAAGCGGGACTGGCCAGTCCCGAAAAAGAAGCTCGACCAATCAGATTTGTGCTTTTTCCCCGCCATTGAATAACGAGATCGGAAGGCAAACGTGGGAAGAAATACGGTGATTGGTACGTACACCATCAGCTCTGAAAGGAGGACACATACTTGGGGTCGTACACTTGATATTTGAATGTTATTCAGTAATGTATTCAGGCCATGAGCAAGTTTTCATTCAGCCGGTTATTAATTAGCAATAGCCGAAGATTTTGTTTGAAGCGTGAATGTGTAAAATATTTTTTCTTACATAAGAAATAAGAATTTCTGAACAAGAAATTCAGATTTTGGTATATTTGTGAATTGTAGTAGAGCCAGGGTACAAGAGTCGTGATAGAGCCATGGTACAAGATTCGTGATAGAGCCAGGGAGAGCGTGTAGATAGCCAGACGGACCTTTCACCAAAGACTCCCCTGCTCCCCCATCCCCCATCACCATCACCAGCAGCGCCCGGGTCTTCCTGTCACTACTCTCTGTATACAACACGTGCAAGTCTACTTTTTTTCATTTACAGGCTGACGTGTTATCGTACCCTGCAAAGCAACGGTGCGTGTTTCAGATTAACCTGATATCTGCGTTGATCATATCTTGTTGTAATGACTGAGACTACTTGTGTTCCAGGGGCCAGATTCACGAAAGCACTTAGGAACGTGTACATCTTTCCTCAATCTTTCACGGCTTTGGTTACATTTATTAAACATTTTACATGCATGAAAACTTCCCAATCAGCTGTTGTTATTGTTATAAACAGCCTCCTGGTGCTTCGGAGCTCATTAACTGTTTAATAATTGGAAACAAAGCCGCCAAAGATTGAGAAAAGATGTACAGGTTCCTAAGTGCTTGCGTAAGTACTTTCGTGAATCTGGCCCCTGGTGACCTGTCTTCTCTCTCTTTGATCACAGGCTAAATTGTCATGATAACCTCTCTTCTAATTAGACTATAAGTTGTTTTTGATAACCTTGCTATGTACCAACCTCGGTCATTCTACACCAGCAAAGTGGTTGAGGATGGTGCTTGTTAAGGTAGAGTTAGCGTACACGTGGTATACCTACAGGTAGAGTAAGTGTACACGTGTATACCTACAGGTAGAGTTAGTGTACACGTGGTATACCTACAGGTAGAGTTAGTGTACACGTGTATACCTACAGGTGGAGTTAGCGTACACGAGTACACTAGGTAAGGCAAAGTTTGTGTACCGTGTACACCTACAAAACAGGATTCGTGTGCACGTGTGCACCTCACACTCTCGTCTCCTACACAGATGGACCAGTCACGCAGCAACCTCCATCACTCATCAGTCTTCACTACAAGGCGTTGAGCAGTTATCACAAGCATAATATACATATACATGAACACTGCAAACTCTCGAGAGGTTAAGTTATCAGGATAACTTGTCGCCTCGAGATAACAACGACATCCTCCTCTACATGCTTCGTCTTCTCCTTTAACTTCTATGTTCATTTTCTTCTGCTTCAGTGTATTTTCCTCCTTGTTCTTCATGTCCGCATCAGCGCCTCTTATGGTAATTGTTCTCAGACAGGAAAATGTGACTATAGATTAGACACTTTAGATTAGACGGGTTGAGGTAGGGGTGATGGGTAGGTGATCCATGTTGACCACACCACACACTAGAAAGTGAAGGGACGACGACGTTTCGGTCCATCCTGGACCATTCTCAATCGACTTGAGAATGGTCCAGGACGGAGCGAAACGTCGTCGTCCCTTCACTTTCTAGTTTGTGTGGTCTGGTCAACATATTTCAGCCAGGTTATTGTGACTCCTCGTCTGGATTTGGTGATCCATCTGGTGACACCGTCACCCATAACGCAGCGTGAGCTTCCCTCCCCGCTGCCTGCAGGAGTCGGGTGCAGTAAGCATGCTCCACTTGTGTTAATCTCTGGCAAGAATCTATCAAAGAGCCCACGAAGGACGCCAGGTTGGCTCCGAGGGCGGCGAGGCAACATAACTCACAGCTGAGGCTTCGGCCACCACGACTTTCGCTCGTATGGTGACGTGTGGTTGAGGCGAGGTGAAGGTGTGTAACGCTGGTGTGTGAAGACCAGTCTTGGAGACAGGTGTGTGTGTGTGTGTGTGTGTGTGTGTGTGTGTGTGTGTGTGTGTGTGTGTGTGTGTGTGTGTGTGTGTGTGTGTGTGCGCGAGGCACGTGCTCTGACGCTAAGGTTCCTGGGTGGAATGACGGTGCTCAAGTTAGTCTTCTGAGCAACTGTCAGTAGCCGCCGACCATCGTACTTTCGGCTCTTGCGTTACTTGTTGCTGAAGTAGTAAGGAGCGTCGTTACTTTAGAGAGGTGTTGCCAGTGACGAGCAGGAGACTGCACCCAGCGCGGCACCCGGGCGTCGTGGTTGGCGGGGGTGCGCGCCTCCCCCTGTCACCTTGTGTACGAGGACGTCCATGTCAAGCCTCCAGGTACCACTTATAACACCTGCTTCCAGCCACGCCGTGGATCCCCTGCCTTGAGCCACACAAACCAACTCCGCTTCCCTCCTACCCCCAACACGTAGGGAGGGCTCCTTCCATCCTGGAATGCCATTCAGAGCGAATATCCGGCTAATGCCTCACTGCCAGACGGAGTAGCAAGGCTGGCGCAGCTGGCCTGCATGCCAAGCCTGGCACGGCACTGATCTTGGGTAATACCATTAGGGTATGCACGCGGAAGTGTGTGGCGTGTGCTGTGAGTCAGCGCCCACACACACACCTCTCTCTCTTGCACGATGCAGTCTTCCCTAGAACCTTGACTATCAGATATTAGGTGACACTACCTTTTTATTTTTTGTATCCTGAATATTCAACACAAGGGAGGAGACGGCTTATTTGTGCTTTACTTTGTATAGTGCTGATGTGTGAGTGTGTTGGTAGTGGTGGGTGTGGGGGTGGTAGTGGTGTGTGGTGTGTGGTGGTGGTGGGTGTGGGGGTGGTAGTGAGTGTGGTGATGGTAGTGGTGTGTGGTGGTGGTGGGTCCTTATCCCGGCTACAGAAATATATAGATTGACTCGCTGTTATTCTAACTTGTTCAATTCCCTGCTGCCTCCATTTGAATTTTGGGTGTCCTAATGATCTCTGACTTATCTTTTGGACTACACTTAGGGTGTAAGTTTTGTATGCAAGATACGAACTACTTTTGACCAGCAAGAGCTAAGTTTCCCATTATTTGTTGACTTATAAGTTACTGTCAAGTTAGTACTAAGCGTTAGTTTCAACAGTTAGAAATTTACAGTGAATTACGTTTGAGAATTTCTCCTAAACCAATCACTTTAACAAAGCACGAGATAATTATGTTGATTACATAAGATTTACAGATTATACACGGCTTGTAAATTGTAAACTAGATATAACAATTAAGTAGCAATTATTCGTTATTCCTAAGACTGAGACGCTAATTTTCAGGGAATCAATTACGAAACAAAAACGTTCCATTTAACATATCATTAACTACTGGGAAGTAATTTCCTGATCTTAGTCATTTCAGCACAAGGAAATACATTTATTACCTTATTATAATAACTATAATAACTAACTTTTGTTTTCTTCAAGTAATACGAAACACAGCTAATTAATTTCCGTTTCTTAATTAAATTATTTTAAATTAACGTCAGTTTTCAGTGAGCTCTGAATGTAATTGTTAATTTGCTTTTGTTTACAGAAGACTAAACAAATCATTGTTGACGTTCTCGTCCGCATCGGCAAGCTATCTATAACTCTCTTAACTGACGCGCGGTCACAGTGAGCTATCAATAGACCGTCTCTTCCGGCCAGCGGGGCGCGCCAGGCTGCCTCGGGGCGGCCACCTTACATAGAGCTTCATGACAGCAATTAAGTCATTAATATACAGTGAGCGCACTAACACTGAGAGAGCGAGAAGGGGAGGGCGGGAGGGAGAGAGAGAGAGGAGAGAGAGAGGAGGAGAGAGAGAGGAGAGAGAGAGGAGAGAGAGAGAGAGAGAGAGAGAGAGAGAGAGAGAGGAGAGAGAAAGGAGAGAGAGAGATGAGAGAAGAGAGAGAGAGAGAGAGAGAGCGAGAGGGGGGGGGGGGCGGGAGAGGGGGAGAGGGGGAGAGGGAGCAACATTAGCTAAAGTGAGGTCATGACTCAAAAGGGTTTCAACCCGGTACTGATGTATTTTACTTCCGTCTATTGAAGGCGTCGCTACGGCCCTCGTCAACTAGGAAAGGCAGCAGCTACGTCCTCCTCCCTTCTCTCTCTCTCTCTCTCTCCTCTCTTCTCTTCTCTCTCTCTCTCTCTCTCATCTCTCGCTCTCTCTCCTCTCTCTCTCTCTCTATCTACTCCTCTCTATCCCCTGGTGTTGTCCTGGATGCTGGAAGGTAAACATTGTAATATGGTAGCCCGTCCAATCACTGCGTGGACTTCCTCCTCTGACTTCCTACTTCCCGTCAGCAGTAATCAGGGGGGACCACGCCATATTTTCTTGAGGTTAGGCTGTAGTGCTTGTGCTATGATCACCACCGCTTGTTACACCTTGTGGTGGTTGGCTTGGTGGTTGTAGCTAGTGGTGGTGGTGGTGGGTGATGGGTAGTTGGAGGAGTGAGTTGGTGGGAACAGATGGGGGGGGGGTTGTTGATGGTAAGTGGTGGTGGTGGGACTATTGTTTGTAGTGTGGTAGTGGTGGTTATGGTTGGTGGTGGCAAGTAGTGGTAGATGGAACTGGTGGTAACTGGAGGGTGCACCAGTACTATCACCTCTACCACCAATAGGTGGTAGAGGTGATAGTACTGGTGGTGTTAATGATGGTGGTTGATATAAATTGTAGTGATTGTAATTATTAGTGAAAATGTGTTTAAACATCTCTCTCAGTACTTTAATAAAACTCAATCACCATTAATACTACAATCTCCACTGTCAGTCTGTGTGTGTGTGTGTGTGGTGTGTGTGTGTGTGTGTGTGTGTGTGTGTGTGTGTGTGTGTGTGTGTGTGTGTGTGTGTGTGTGTGTGTGTGTGTTTTAGCCTTCAGCCATCGCCAAACCAAATTCCATTCCCACCAACATAGACAATAACATCAGCCACACCACAAGTGCCTGCCGGCAGCAGTCGATCCTTTTGAAGCGTCTGTGATAGCCAGTTCCTCCACTGTATTTAATACCAGTTACCACTGTGCTTGCGCCGGTTTAGGCGGTAATAGAGGAGGGGGAAGAAGCAGAACGTCTTCCCTACCCCTAGTTTGTAACCAAACAGTGGTGCATTAGTTTAAAAACACACACACACACACTTGCTGGACTCAACTGACATTTGGTGAATTTTGCACGTAGAGGTAATCCATTGGCCAGTTAAGAATTTCAACTGGATGCCAGTCAGTAGCACGAACTGGCAATTGCAAGGGGCGGGGGGGGGGGGGGTGATACAGTCCCCGGAAACCAGCGCTGGATCGTACTGTTGCAGAGTGGGAACAGCTGTACTGAAGTTGACTGGTTACAGTTACTCGGTCATAATACTCAACAGTCACAAGGCCTGTTACTAACAGGTACACACACACACACACACACACCGGCACACATCTGAACAAATCCACAAGGGCCGTGACGAGGATTCGAACCTGCGTCCGAGAGTATCCCAGACGCTGCCTTAATCGACTGAGCTACTTTCTTCATTTGATGCATCACGCTATTGTGATTTCTGTGTGTAATGAAGTAGCGGCGCAGATCTGTACCGACACGTACAGACAGACTGACAGGCCAGAACACGGGCACAGCAAGTCCTAAGACTGATACAGTCATGCTCATGTACAGACTGTCATGTATAATTATGCAAATGTATACAATCATAGGCAGTACAATTATGCACCGAGAGCCACAAATGAACAAACATACACAGCATTCCTTATAATGTCATACTGACAAATACATACGTACACACATATACCTTCAATCATACATAGTTATATATATATATATATATATATATATATATATATATATATATATATATATATATATATATATATATATATATATATATATATATATATATATCATATACCTATATTTAGACACAGATAAATAATATCATTCACTGATAATTATAGATATGTATATTTTTTTACATAACCACAGTCATGTCAAACCATACACAGCCACATACAGATGGCACACATATATATGCACGACAGACACAGTCAATTCCCCCACACTTACAGTCACAGACAGAAACAGTCTTCCCCCATGTGACTGGTCGCCCTCACCAGCATCAAGGTCTGGCAGCCGTGGATTTCCAAGGTCCACGAGACGGGATATATTTTTTCATCCAATTATTTTGTTTTTATATATTAACTCGGTTGGTATTCAGAAAAAAAAGATATATATTATTTCGCAATGCTTGTAATGTGTGAGTATCGAGGCTAAGACAGATCGTGAGGCAGAAGTTAATTATTAGGTTGTGTGTGTGTGTGTGTGTGTGTGTGTGTGTGTGTGTGTGTGTGTGTGTGTGTGTGTGTGTGTGCGTGTGTGTGTCCATGAAGGTAAACAGACCTCGCTGGGGTAGAGGCTTTGAGGGATATTTGGAGATAAATTCTCTCTCTCAAGGATTCTTTATATACTGTATATGAGAGGGAAAAAGAGAAAGGTTTAGTGTGTTGCAGTCACCACAGACCGTTCGTGCCAACTGTTGTGTCTGGCTGTACACATGGACACTACTCCAACACTCACGAGACCCGTTACGTGGACGGAGCTGGGCCCCCGGGGGATGGTGAGGGCGGAGTGGGAGATGGTGAGCTTGGGTAGACTTGGTGACTGGTAATGGATACACTATTTAGGAGGGGAGGTGGAGCTGGGGTAGCTAAGACTGGGGAGGTGGAGGTGCTGGGGTAGCTAAGACTGGGAGGGGGTGGTGCTGGGGTAGCTAAGACTGGGAGGAGGTGGAGCTGGGGTAGCTAAGACTGAGAGGTGGTGCTGCTGGGGTAGCTAAGACTGGGAGGAGGGGGTCCTGGGGTAGCTAAGAGGGGAGGTGGTGAATTGAAGGGATAGCGAGTTGCGAGTGGTTCAAGGAAGATACATCTAAGAGAGAACATTGGTGGGAAGTTAGAGGCAAGAGTGTGTGTGTTGCAACCAAGTATTGCTGTGCCGGATGCTGCAACAGGCACCACAGGAGATGAAGTGGAGCATCTTGTTAACACTGCCAGCTCTCCCCTCTCACCCCTCTTTCTGCCTCTATCTCTCTCTCTTAAAGAGAAAGATAGAGCAGTTTGAGGAAAGGGAACATAGAGAAATACAGAGAACAAAGCAAATAATTAGGCGAAACAGGATAACAGCGAGGAAAGAGTGAGAGGTAGAGATAGATATGGTGGCAGGGAGAGACAAGCATTATGAAGTGAGAAGAACAGTACGAACAAGAGAAGAACAAGGCAATAAATATCAGAAGAAAAATAAACAGTTAAAACAAGTACAGGCAGAGCAAGGCAATATCATGACCGAATCAATACAGAGAAGAAACACACTTCATCAGCAAGGGAGAGAGAGAGAGAAAATAGGAAACATACAGGAAGAACGAGTGTGGAAGAAAATAAGAGAAGGGAGTATAAAGAGAGGAAGAGGAACGGGAAAGGGAGCGAGAAAGGAGGAGGTTGGGTCGCTCGGATGAATGAACGGAGCAGGAGACTGAGGTCAGCGGCGGGGCGGGCCGGACACGCGGAAGCAAAGCTACGACACAACAAACACTTTCCCTCCCAGTAACAGGTTTTCCCGCACTCTAGCGGTTCTCTGGGCTCTCACGCTCCCTGCGGCATGGAACACCGTGTGCTCCTGAGTGCCTCTACACTGCTACTTACGCCCCCGCGCAGAGCGGCGAATAATGAAACAAATACTGATACACTGCCAACTTCCCCGACGCCTCGGGGGCCCAGCTGATCCCTGGAGTGTTAGCTATTCTTAGCTCGCGAGGAGCAATGCACTCTTACGCTGATACACACTAACACGCGTTGTTCACAGGTGTTGGGTGTAGCGTGTGTGTGTGTGTGGGTGTTGTACTGGGCCCCGGGGTGTACTGGGGTTGGGGTTGAGGAGGCGGGCATGGTAGGGGTTGCATGTCTGGGTGACGTGAGGTGACTGGCGAGAGCTGAGTGCCGTGGCCAATGACACGGAGGCTTTGAACCCTTGGCTCAGCTCTCCTGCACCGCCACGGTGACTACAACGCCCCGCACATAGCCACCCAACGTTACGGTCAGGTGTATTGGGGTCACCGTTATGTGTAGCTGTGATACTGTGTACACCTCTCTCACTACACTGGAGGCACTGTACCTCACAGTGTTGACATGTAGTGTATGGAAATATATCGGAATAGTTTGACGAGTGTTAAGAGGAGCGAGTAAAGAGGAACTAGGAGAGTATATAGGGGAGAATGTTGACCTTGAGTGGCACTCACCTCCTCTGAAGTAACCTCCGTCAGTGATGCTCATGAATCTTGCATCCTGCAGCTGGGCGCGGCCCTCTGCGCTCTGGTCTTGTCCCTCCTGCTGCTGCAGCTGCAGGAGCTGCAAGAGTCTCACAGCATCTGGGAAGCTGAGTGGCTGCGGCGCGCCCTTCCACAGGATATTCTCGTCCACAACGTCGCCATCTGGAAGGTGTGGGAGGAGCGCCAGGGAGGAGGCTGCCAGCAAGGACAGCAGGGCGAGGCGGAACTGTAGGAGCGAGGAAGCAGCAGCGACGAGCCTCGCCATTATCAGGCAAGCAGTGATGCTCCATCAGTATATACCCGTGGGATCCAGGGGATCCATAGCGAAGCTCATGGTAAATGGCCGCGAGAGTGAGTGAGTGGTGACGATGCTACGGGAGCACCGTGAGGCGGGGGCAAGGTAGTGGTGAGTGAAGAGGCCTAGTAGGAGGCCACGCTCAGTAAACGTCGGTGGGGTCGAGGCCTTTATGCTCCATGGTTGCTCAGATCACGATGACGGCCGGCTTGAAGCACAGAATGCGGAACACGAGCACCAAGAGGTCCCACACGACCATTGCTGGGCGGCCACTGAGCCAGCCACTTGTGACGGGCCCTATAAGAGTGTTGGGGGCCGAGGGGCGGGGCTTGCCACTAGCCCTCTCCGGTCACAGTGGGCGGAGCTTCCAACTGGTAACGCCCCCTTACTCATGCCGGCCCCTCCCCCCACCTCACTCCCCTACTGAAATCCCGGTAATCCGCTTTTATGGTATTGTGAGGATGTGTGGGTACCATACAACATTACAACCAGTTACTGGGGGGGGGGGCTGTGTGTGTGTATGGTGAGGCTGAACCCTGACTCCGCCCACCTCTCT